ATTAACATTTATATAACGTTTATTTACATTTATATAACATTTATTTACATTTATATAACATTTATTAACATTTATTAACATTTATATAACATTTATTCACATTTATTAACATTTATATAAAATTTATTAACATTTATATAACGTTTATTTACATTTATATAACATTTATTAACGTTTATTAACATTTATTCACATTTATATAACATTTATTCACATTTATATAACATTTATTAACATTTATATAAAATTTATAAATATAAATATGGGATAATTTGTAGTAAAGAGCATTTCAGTAATAAAAAGATGCACAATGTTTACATGTGTGCCCAGAGTCACACAGTGTTCACACGTGTACCCGGTATTGTGGTGTTTAAAGTTTCAGTGTGTGTCTGGTCCCGCGTGTGTCTGGTCCCGCGTGTGTCTGGTCTCGTGTGTGCCTGGTCTCGTGTGTGTCTGGTCCCGTGTGTGTCTGGTCCAGCGTGTGTCTGGTCCCGTGTGTGTCTGGTCTCACGTGTGTCTGGTCTCGTGTGTGTCTGGTCCCGTGTGTCTGGTCTCACGTGTGTGTCTGGTCCCGTGTGTGTCTGGTCCGTGTGTGTCTGGTCCCGTGTGTGTCTGGTCCCGCGTGTGTCTGGTCCCGCGTGTGTCTGGTCCCGCGTGTGTCTGGTCCCGCGTGTGTCTGGTCCCGCGTGTGTGTCTGGTCCCGCGTGTGTCTGGTCCCGCGTGTGTCTGGTCCCGCGTGTGTGTCTGGTCCCGCGTGTGTCTGGTCTCGCGTGTGTCTGGTCTCGCGTGTGCCTGGTCTCGTGTGTGCCTGGTCCCGTGTGTGCCTGGTCCCGTGTGTGTCTGGTCCAGCGTGTGTCTGGTCCCGTGTGTGTGTCTGGTCTCACGTGTGTGTCTGGTCCCGCGTGTGTCTGGTCTCGTGTGTGTCTGGTCCCGTGTGTGTCTGGTCCCGTGTGTGTCTGGTCTCGTGTGTGCCTGGTCCAGCGTGTGTCTGGTCCCGTGTGTGTCTGGTCCCGTGTGTGTCTGGTCTCGTGTGTGCCTGGTCCAGCGTGTGTCTGGTCCCGTGTGTGTCTGGTCCCGTGTGTGTCTGGTCCCGTGTGTGTCTGGTCTCACGTGTGTGTCTGGTCCAGCGTGTGTCTGGTCTCATGTGTGCCTGGTCCAGCGTGTGTCTGGTCCTGTGTGTGTCTGGTCCCGTGTGTGTCTGGTCTCGCGTGTGTCTGGTCCCGCGTGTGGTCTGTCTGTCCCGTGGTGTGTGTGTCTCACGTGTGTGTCTGGTCTCACGTGTGTGTCTGGTCCCGTGTGTGTCTGGTCTCACGTGTGTCTGGTCTCACGTGTGGTGTGTCTGGTCCGCGTGTGTGTCTGGTCCCGTGTGTGTCTGGTCTCGCGTGTGTGTCTGGTCCCGCGTGTGTGTCTGGTCCCGTGTGTCTGGTCCCGTGTGTCTGGTCCCGTGTGTGTCTGGTCCCGCGTGTGTGTCTGGTCCCGCGTGTGTGTCTGGTCCCGCGTGTGTCTGGTCCCCGTGTCGTCCCGCGTGTGTCTGGTCCCGCGTGTGTCTGGTCCCGCGTGTGTCTGGTCTGTCCCGCGTGTGTGTCTGGTCTCGCGTGTGTGTCTGGTCTCGCGTGTGTCTGGTCTCGTGTGTGCCTGGTCTCGTGTGTGCCTGGTCCAGCGTATGCCTGGTCCAGCGTGTGTCTGGTCTCGTGTGTGTCTGGTCTCGTGTGTGTCTGGTCCAGCGTGTGTCTGGTCTCGTGTGGTCTGGTCTCGCTGGTCTCTGGTTGTGTGTCTGTCCCGCGTGTGTCTGGTCCGCGTGTGTCTGGTCCCGCGTGTGTCGTGTGGTCTCCGCGTGTCTGTCTGCTGGTCCCGTGTGTGTCTGGTCGCGTGTGTGTCTGGTCTCGTGTGTGTCTGGTCCCGTGTGTGTCTGGTCCCGCGTGTGTGGTCGTGTGTGTCGTGTGTGTCTGGTCCCGTGTGTGTGTCTGGTCCCGCGTGTGTCTGGTCCCGTGTGTGTCTGGTCCAGCGTGTGTGTCTGGTCTCGCGTGTGTCTGGTCTCGCGTGTGTGTCTGGTCCCGCGTGTGTCTGGTCTCACGTGTGTGTCTGGTCTCACGTGTGTGTCTGGTCCAGCGTGTGTCTGGTCCCGTGTGTGTCTGGTCTCGTGTGTGTCTGGTCCCGTGTGTGTCTGGTCCCGTGTGTGTCTGGTCTCGCGTGTGTCTGGTCTCGCGTGTGTCTGGTCGTAGGCTCATAGTGCAGTGATATAAGACGTGTTTGAAACAGAGCTGACGTGTGTTTAAACTCACACTCCGCTGTTAACAGAACCTTTAGAACTCTTCGCTTCGGCTTCATGTTTTATTGCAAATATTCCAGCTGAACGTGCCTTAATCACATAAGAGTGTGTGACTCAGACTCAGCTGCGTCGAACGTGCCCAGAACTCTCCGTCATTCCCACATTAAAGAGCGGATTCTCTGCAGGATCCACTTTTTGGACTTTCCTCACATGTTGTAACGTTCCCTTCATCACTAATCTGCCTGACGAGGTTTTAGAGTCGCCCGTGTGTGTGTTTGAGTAATCTAGTGATCTCTCCCGGGCCCTATCCGAACCCGAGTCGCCCGTGTGTGTGTTTGAGTAATCTAGTGATCTCTCCCGGGCCCTATCCGAACCCTCGTTACGGTGCGTAAAGTGAAACGTATAAAACATGTTGATGTGTTGTTTTCCGCGACGACAGCGTTTTCCAAAACCATAAAAGGAACGTGGTTTTTAAATATGTTCTGTGTTACACTTAATGCCCCACACAAGTCAAATACTTGTCTTTAGAAAAGTCAAACAGCTCATACAGTCGCATACACAGAACATACACTTTTTTACCCATCAAACAAAGTGAAATGTGGGCACCTGGTCAAACTTAAAACCTGCCAAATCTTATTTAAAACAAAACTCAACCTGCTCCCAGAAAACATCCAAAAACTGTTCAGCACAAATGAACTCAAATACAACCCGAGAGTTAAATCAATTTAAAAACAACAAGACTTATGGAACAGTTTAAACATTTTAGAACATATCAAAGCTCGGACTAACATGGTGCACTTAAAAAAAAAAAAACCCAATATAAACGTCAAATCATACAGAAACTCCCAGAAGAATAAATCCATCGTCTTCACAAGCTTTTCTTTTACATTTTCTTTAACATTACGATCATGAACAATAAATTTTGAAACGTCTTTATCGTTATTATTAGTTTGGTCGACCGTAAACGGAAAAAAAAAAATAAATCCTTACATTTTTCATTCTCATTGTGGTTTATTTTGCACGATCATAAACGATAAACTTCTGTGTCTTATTTATCATTATTATTAGTTTGTACGGCCATAAATGGAAAAAAAAAAACATACAGTACAGTACACGAGAAAAGAAAGAAATTGGGTTAAAATTATACTTAGTGTGCATAGTAGTGATGTAACAATAACCCAAATATTGTGATATCGTATCGTCAAAGTTCTCACAATAACATCGTGGAGCATCACAATATATCGAATCACAAAAGTCTCTTTGGTTAAATGAAGAGTTCTGGTGCAGCAATAACTAAGACAGAGGGAACTACATAGACCATGATCCTTTGCTCCATTTCAGTGCAGACGACAAGAAGAAATAACAGTTCTAACACTTTAAAGTTTTAGTTGTTTAGCCTCCACAAAATATCACAATAAATATTGTACCGTGAGATGTGTATCATGAAAATGTTGTACAGAGAGATTTGGATTTTGTTACGTCCCTAATCGTGAACTTTCCCACGATATCGCAAAGGTCCTGGTCCAGCAGAAGTAAACATCAAGGCCAAAAATTCAAGTTAATGCATCTGATATAAAAGTGTATTGAACAGATACATATTTACTCTAGTTTATGAAACTGTTGACCTTTTTTCTGGACCATTTTTGGTTCTAAAGTTCCATATGTTTTAAACAGACCATGTATGAAACATGGAACAAAAATTATTTGACAAATTTCAAAGACCTGAAAATCATGTAAATAAATGTTTGTATTTCATCATATCTTGTGTTATTCCATCTTTGAACTGTTGATGAAGGGACAGGATTTAAAAAAAAAAAAAAGTATTTAAAATGATAAAAATGTTCTTGGAAGGACTGACATATTTTATAGAAATAGTTTCTTTCATTTTGAAGTAATATTAAAGTTTTCAGAAGAAAAAAGCCACAAATGATGTAAAATCCTGCACCTTCTACTTGTTTGTACAATTTTCCCTCCGTTACTTTTCAAACCAGTTTGTTAAGGATGAGTATATGTGAGAACCAAGAGTTATCACTGTTTGGATTTATTGCCCAAAAAGTGCTGCATATTTCATTCCCTCCGTTACCGACATGAGTTTTTAAATTTTTTGTCTTGAACTTGAAAGAATCTCACAGGTTTAACTTGACCCTGTTGGAGTGTAACTCTTTCCTACATTCTGATACTTTACTTATTTCAATAGTTCCTCTAGTTTCTGAATAAGAGACATTTGAATGTCAAAAATCTGCCCGTTTCCCTCCGTTACCACTTGACCGAACCCCAATAAATATTGTCACAGTATGAACCTCACGGGACGATATTTATTGCGATGGTATGGTGAGACTTGGATGTTGTTACACCCCTAGTGCACAGTGTGTCATTTATTTATATGTAAATATTTGTAAAGTTTCGTCATCAATGTTCAGAGGCAAACACATCATTTATGAATTTTTGAAACTGTCTTGAACAGGTTTGGTTCATGTAAGTTTTTCTTCTTCACACTCCTTTTCCAGAACTGTGCTTTTCTGTCATTGACACTGTACAGTCCGTGTTGTGTCGTGTGATTATTGTTTCTCTCTTGGCACAAACTGGGAATAAAACCGAATCAAATCAAAATCAAATAATGATTCAGGGATTCCTCTGTGTTGTCCCGTTCCTCTGAGCTCTTGAGTCATCAGGTCTCTCCTCTCGTAGCCACAGCTGCGATACAGATGTGAACTCGTGTTTTTGTCTCCAGGGGTTCGGGACTCGAGACGGACACATCGTGGTCGCCGCGGGAAACGACACTCAGTTTGTGCGAGTGTGTCAGGTACAGGAGCTGTTGGAGTCTCTGTTTGAGTCTGTTTTTGTCAGTGTCGTCGGCTGAAAGTGTTTCCTGTGCTCCGGCGTGTTCCAGGTGCTCGGTCTGGACGAGCTGGCACACGAGCCCAAATATAAAACCAACAAACTCCGAGTCCAGAACAGGAAACAGCTGCTGTCTGTGATGTCACAGCGGTAAGAGCAGCGCACACTCCACCCTGTGCTCTGATTGGAGGGTGTAAATCCTCTCTGGTCTCTGACTGGAGGGTTTAAATCCTCTCTGGTCTCTGATTGGTGGGTTTAAATCCTCTCTGTTCTCTGAGTGGTGGGTTTAAATCCTCTCTGGTCTCTGATTGGTGGGTTTAAATCCTCTCTGGTCTCTGAGTGGTGGGTTTATATCCTTCCTACTCTCTGATTGGTGGGTTTAAATCCTCTCTAGTCTCTGATTGGAGGGTTTAAATCCTTTCTGGTCTCTGATTGGAAGGTTTAAATCCTTCCTGGTCTCTGATTGGAGGGTTTAAATCCTCTCTGGTCTCTGATTGGTGGGTTTAAATCTGCTGTACTCTCTTATTGGAAGGTTTAAATCCTCTCTGGTCTCTGATTGGTGGGTTTAAATCCTTCCTACTCTCTGATTGGTGGGTTTAAATCCTCTCTAGTCTCTGATTGGAGGGTTTAAATCCTTTCTGGTCTCTGATTGGAAGGTTTAAATCCTTCCTGGTCTCTGATTGTTGGGTTTAAATCCTCTCTAGTCTCTGATTGGAGGGTTTAAATCCTCTCTGATCTCTGATTGGTGGGTTTAAATGCTTCCTACTCTCTGATTGGTGGGTGTATACAGGTTTGCCGAGGAGACGACGTCTGATTGGCTGAGGAGGTTCGAGGGGTCAGGTGTTCCGGTCGGACCAATCAACAGCATCCAGCAGGTGTTCAGTGACCCTCAGGTGAGTCCGGCTCCTCCTCCTCCTCGTGTCACGCGTTTGTGTCGTCTGCGTCACCGTCTGCGTCACCGTCTGCGTCACCGTCTGCGTCTGCGTCACCGTCTGCGTCACCGTCTGCGTCTGCGTCACCGTCTGCGTCAGCGTCACTGTCTGCGTCACCGTCTGCGTCTGCGTCACCGTCTGCGTCACCGTCTGCGTCTGCGTCACCGTCTGCTCTTTATTAGCTGTTTTTACGTTAAAGTGTTTTCAGATGTTTGGTTTTTCGGGGGTCCTACCTCATGACATCAGCAGGTGGAGTGAGCGTTTTATGATCTTAGAAAAGACACACACACACACACACACAGTGACAGGTGCAGACCCTGTCTTCACACATACTGACAGGTGTTGTGGAGTGATGTGTCCCTGTCGGTCTGAGGGGAGGAGAAGGATTTAGGAAAATAAATTCAAACGGTGAAGAAGTTCAACAGACGCCAAGTCCACAGAGAAACTCTCCTCCTCCTCTTCCTCTCCTCCTCCTCTTCCTCTTCCTCCTCTTCCTCTTCTCCTCTTCCTCTCCTCTTCTTCTTCTGCTTCTCTGCTCCTCCTCTTCCTTCTCTTCTCCTCTTCCTCTGCTCTTCCTCCTCTCCTCTTCCTCCTCTTCTCTTCCTCCTCCTCATCCTCCTCTCCTCTTCCTCCTCTCCTCTTCCTCCTCTTCTCTTCCTCCTCTCCTCTTCCTCCTCTCCTCTTCCTCCTCCTCTTCCTCCTCTCCTCTCTCTCCTCCTCTCCTCTTCCTCCTCTCCTCCTCTTCTCTTCCTCTTCCTCCTCATCCTCCTCTCCTCTTCCTCCTCCTCTTCTTTCTCTTCTTCCTCCACGTCTGCATCAGTTTAAAAAAGTGAACTGACCTTTTGTTTTGTGTCATTTTGTTCTGAAATCTGTGGAAATTTAAAATCCAGATAATTTCATCTTCACTTCAATGTCACTTTGACCCAGTCCTGACAGCAGCTCCTCCTCCAGAACCGAACCAGGACTGAACCAGGTCTAAACCAGGACTGAACCAGGACTAAACCAGGACTGAACCAGGACTAAACCAGGACTGAACCAGGACTAAACCAGGACTAAACCAGGACTAAACCAGGACTAAACCAGGACTAAACCAGGACTGAACCAGGTCTAAACCAGGTTTTTGTTTCAGAAAATGTCAAACATTTCATTTTCAGGGATCAGTTGCATTTTTCTGAGAAATAAAGAGGAAAAAATGAAAGAGGATGAAGAGAAGCGAGGAGAGAGAGAGAAGAAAGGGGGAGAGAGAGCAGAGAAGATAGAGGAGAGATAGAAGAGAGAGGAGAGAGAGAGAGGTGAAAGAGAGAAGAGAGAGAGAGACGGGAGTGAGAGAAGAGAGAAAGAAAAGAGAGAGTGGAGAGAGAGAAGAAAGAGAGAGTGGAGAGAGAGAGAGAAGAAAGAGCAGAGAGAGAGGAGAGAGGGATGAGTGGAGTAGTGGAGTAGTGGAGTAGAGGAGAGGGGGATGAGTGGAGGAGTAGAGGAGAGGGGGATGAGTGGAGGAGTAGAGGAGAGGAGGAGTACGTGTCTGTTGTGGATTTTCCTCTGACTCGTCTTTTCAGTTTCACATCTGGTGTCAGGTGCTCGGGGCCTCTTCTGTCTCTGGCCTGTCGCGCTCTGATGAAATGTTCCGCACTGGGGCTTTACCCGGGCCCTGGCCCCGGTCTCAAACCCCGGCCTCAGACCCCAGTCTCAGACCTCAGTCGCCGGGGTTTGTTTCGTTTCACTCACACGTGTGTTGTGATCCCGTGGGTCCGGCCCGTCTCCCCACACTCCGCCGCACCTGCTGATGTCACGAGGTGCCGCTCCTCTCGCCGCTTTCCTCTCCCCGTACAGAAACATACCGTCTGCGTTTGACCCGTCTGCGTTTGACCCGCCCTTCAGTGAGTCTGGGTTAGATCTGACCCGTCTCCAAGTCTTAGTCTGGTCTTGGTCTGGACCTGAGCTGCAGGGTTTGACCTGTAGAGCCTCAGACACAGACAGAACATGCAAACTCCACACAGTCCTGTAGACCTGATTTGGACCTGGTTTAGATGTATCGTATCGTGGTCTGTGTATTGTATCGTGGCTTATATATCGAGGTATGTATCGTATATATCGAGGTATGTATCGTATATATCGAGGTATGTATCGTATATATCGAGGTATCGTATATATCGAGGTATGTATCATATATATCGAGGTATCGTATATATCGAGGTATCGTATATATCGAGGTATGTATATATCGAGGTATCGTATATATCGAGGTATGTATCATATATATCGAGGTATCGTATATATCGAGGTATCGTATATATCGAGGTATGTATCGTATCGTGGTCTGTGTATTGAGCTTGGTATCATATTGAGGTATGTATCGTATTGTGGCGTATGTATTGTATCGTGTCGTATATATCGAGGTGTGTATCATATATATCGAGATATATATCGTATCGTGTTGTATATATCGAGGTATGTATTGTATCGTATCGTATATATCAAGGTATGTATCGTATATATCGAGGTATCGTATATATCGTAGTATGTATCGTATATATCGAGGTATCGTATATATCGAGGTATGTATCGTATATATCGAGGTATCGTATATATCGAGGTATCGTATATATCAAAGTATCGTATATATGGAGGTATGTATCGTATCATGGCCTAAGTATTGTATCCTTGCTTATGTATCGAGGTGTGTATCGTATCGTATCATTCTTAACGATACCAGCTCAGTGAAGTGTGTGTAACACTGTAGAGGTAAGATCTTAAGACCAAGCCCGACCCGACCGGGTCTAAAATGTCAATCATTACTTCGGGTCGGGTCGGGCTTCAAATAAATATATGTTTATAAAATGTTTGCTAAAACGATGTGTGGATACTAAACTAAGGAATACTTGTTATAAAATAAATAATATGGATAAAACAAGAGAAGTAATGTAATGTAATTGCTATTTAACTACTAAAACAGGATCACGTGACGCCCCCTCTTCATTTAATCATCTTCCCCTCCGCAAGTCTGCATCTATTTTGACCTGGTGTCGCCAATATGGAGGAGCAAGAAGTTAAACTAAAGGCAGGAGAAGTGAAAAGACAAACACGCACCGGTAAGAGTGAGGTGTGGAAAAGCTTCAAATTGATTGTTGAAAATGCTACAGAAACTTGCGTTGGCGTCGCTGAATGTGTCAATGTGGCTTTGCTTCATACGAGAGCAAAAAGACTGACACCTCGACGCTGAGCACTGCTCCTCCTCCCGAGTCACAAATAAAATATGACATTTCGGGTTTGCTTCGGGCTCGGGCCGGGTCGGGTTTTAATACCCGCGGGCCGGGTCGGGTCGGGCTGGATTTTTTAGGCCCGATCTCACCTCTATAACACTGGTCCAGGTGTGTGTCTGTTCTGTTCAGAGTCAGAGGTGTGAGTCTCTGTCTCTTTCTCTCTGGGTCTGACTCTGCTCAACAATAACATCCACTTTTTCACTCTTCCTCCTCTTCCCTCCTCTTCCTCCTCTTCCTCCTCTTCCTCCTCTTCCTCCTCTCCTCTTCCTCCTCTTTCCTCCCTCCTCTCCCTCCCTCCTCTTCCCTCCTCTTCCTCCTCTTCCCTCCTCTTCCTCCTCTTCCTCCTCTTCCTCCTCTTCCTCCTCTTCCTCCTCTTCCTCCTCTTCCTCCTCTTCCTCCTCTTCCCTCCTCTTCCTCCTCTTCCTCCTCTTCCCTCCTCTTCCTCCTCTTCCTCCTCTTCCTCTCTTCCTCCCTCTTCCTCCTCTTCCCTCCCTTCCCTCCTCTTCCTCCTCTTCCTCCCTTCTCCTCTTCCTCCTCTTCCTCCTCTTCCTCCTCTTCCTCCCTTCCTCCTCTTCCTCTCCTCCTCTTCCTCCTCTTCCTCCTCTTCCTCCTCTTCCTCCTCTTCCTCCTCTTCCCTCCTCTTCCTCCTCTTCCTCCTCTTCCTCCTCTTCCTCCTCTCTCCTCTCCTCCTCTTCCCTCCTCTTCCTCCTCTTCCTCCTCTTCCCTCCTCTTCCTCCTCTCTTCCCTCCTCTTCCTCCTCTCTTCCCTCCTCTTCCTCCTCTTCCTCCTCTTCCTCCTCTTCCTCCTCTTCCTCCTCTTCCTCCTCTCTTCCCTCCTCTTCCTCCTCCTCCTCTTCCTCCTCTTCCTCCTCTTCCCTCCTCTTCCCTCCTCTTCCTCCTCTTCCTCCTCTTCCTCCTCTTCCCTCGCTTCTCTTCACTTCAGGTTGTTGTTGTGGAGAGGTTCTCAGGTCCAGGCGGATTCACGTCTGAAACACAACAGATTTATGAACCCTGATACGATACACACGTCCACACACTTCACGGGGAGATGAAATTCGATGAAATTTTCTTAATCGATCGTCGGAAGAATTAACGATTATCGATTAATCATGAACGTTTTTCTATTAAAATGATCATCATTATTATTACTATCTGCACTAATCTGCATCAATAAATTCAACTTTACGACATATAAACATAACGACTCTAGATCCACATCAGCTGTTTGACATTATAATGTGTTTAATTCAGTTTTGTTCAAATCTCACAGAAACAAAACTTAAAACCACATCACTAATTTACATAAACTAAGTGAAGATAAAACTCCAGCTCTTGTGTCGCTGATGTGGTTCAACTTGTGTTGGATTAAAAGACATGACTCAGGTGAATACAGGTCAGTGTGACCAGATTTGTGTTTGTCAAAACCAGGACAGCGTACGGGGGGAGGGGGGCGGGGCCTCGTCATCCACATTGAGCGACTCTCACCTGGAAAAACTTTTTCCCACTGGACACAGAAACATATGTGCTGCTTTATCCACTGTGCACATGGACTCACACTTGTCCCAACGCAACGGAAAGTGTGGAATTTCTTCTACAAATCCTGGTTAAATCCACATTTGTGCTTCGGTTCGTTACAGACTGACCCACTGTTTGTGTGTCGCTCCTTCTGATGCAGAGACACATGTACACACCTGTTTGGTCA